TTTGCAGATGACAAAAACTGGAACATGACTGAACAAGAAAGTGCAAGGCCCTGAGTTCAATTCCCAGTACTGCCCAAATCAACACAAAACAAAAAAAAAAACAAGCCCAAGATTCACAGTATTAATTTTACTTCTTCTTCTCCAGTTAAGATGCTTTTTATTTCATTTTGTTACTGTTTGCTTTGTCCATGGATACTAGTATTTTGTTAAATGAAATGGTGAAAATAGATACACTAGTCTTATTCCTCATGTTAGAGGAGAAGCTTTGTCTTTAAATGAGGATTATGCCATTATATGTAGGATTTTGTATATAGTATTTATTTTGAGGAAATGCCTCTTACATTTTTTGATTGTTTCCATCATAAAGAAGTTAATTTTGTTAATGTAGTATATTACATATATTAGTTTCTATATGATAACCTATCCTTGCAATCCAGGAGTAAATCTAACTTGGTTGTGGTGTATAATCCTGTGTCTCAATCTTTTTTCCTGTTGCCAATTACAGAAACACAGACAGTAAATTAAAAAAAAGAGCTATATTTGAGCTCAAGGTTCAGATGTTAAGGGAACTCATTAATGATGACTTCTTGGTAGCAGAGTAGCAGAGTCAGTCATAAGTTTGTACAAATCATCACAAGATAAAAGACAAAACAGGGACGATATTTTTGGCAAACTAGCTTTTATACCAGATCCATTCTTGATATAAACAATTAGTCTATTGATAAATTACTTCATTAGTTGCACAAACAGATTAACATGTTCATGAAGAACGATTACTCTTCACCTGTAAAGGTCCACCTGATTCTACCCTTAGAATCTTAAAATTAGGATAAAATTTTAATGAGCTCCAATGGGGACAAACCATATCCAAACTATTAATATGCAGATAAAATGTATTTTATAGTATGTTAAAATCAGGGATATTAGACTAAATAGTTTTGTGTTAATCTGGCTTAATGTTATGGTAATGACAGCATCATAAATGGACTGGAATTTTCAAGTACTTTTTGAAGAGTTTGAGGAAGACTGGTGATTATTTCCCATGAAAGGACTTGGAGTATTCTCCATTGAAACCTTCTTCACATGGTATTTTCTTTGTTGGGAAGTTTTTGATTATTATTTCAGACTTCTTTGTAGTAATAAGCACATCCAGATTTTCTCCATGATCCAGTGATGTTAACAGCTTTTCTTGAACTTGCTCATTTTATCTAGGTTATTCCAGTTATTATTCATCATGTCCCAATAAACATTTCATGTTCTGTAATGTCAAAAGACCATTCCGTTATTTGCCATTTTAATTATTTGAATCATCTTTTTCTTAGTCAATCTAGCTAAAACGTTACAAATTATGTTGCCGTTTTTAAAGTTTTTATTCTCTACTTTGCTCATCTCATATCTAATCTATATTGTGTCTTCAGTATACCCAGGGTTCTCTTGTGCAACATAATGAATATGAGAGAGATAGGTAGAAATAGAGACACAGACATAAATATAGGGAGATTTTAAGGAATTGGTTTCTGTGACTGTGGAAGCTAAATCTCCTGTTTTATCGTGATAGAGACCTAGTGCAGCTGACAGCAGTGTTTTCATTGAAGGGGAACAGCTGATGTTAGGGAATAATTGTGTACATCTTGGTTTTAGTTTGATGACCATAGAACCAGAAACACTCATGCCCACGTTCAGGAGAAAATAGATGTCCCACCACAAGCAGTAGGAGTCAACTTGCCTTTTTGTTCTGCTTGAGTCATCAATAGATAGATGAGCCCTATCCATATTGGTGTAGGCAAACTTCTGTAGTCAACAAACCAATTTAAAAGTGTTAATCTCTTTTAGAAACACCATCACAGGCACTCTCAGAATTAATGATTATCAGTTGACTTCATGCTCTTTAGCACAATATACAACCCCTATAGCTCTTCTGTAGATAATGTTTCCCTGGATATTCCATCCTTAAAAACATATATTTTGTCTTTTGAGCCATCCATCCTAGAAAATGAAATTTTTTTTGTTTCTTCTAATCAGAAATGTCTTCTATCATAAATCTCATGGTCTCTGTGACTGGGATTGCTTTCAGATCTTGAAGAATGAGTTCCTTGAACTCATTTCTTTGATATTTATACCTTTCACTTAGTAAAAACATATTTTTATCTAATCATTCTTAAGTCCTACTTCTTTGGTTAATCCTTTCCTAAATAATGCAGTTCCCAAAAGACTTTTACTTGTTTATCCTCCTATTGTATTTCTCTACCTTACTTCTTTTGTGTTTTGAGTACATTTTCTTTGCATATGTATTTCTCTTTTTGCTAATCTTTTTTTTTTCTAGGACTCTTTTTTAAAATTTTTATTGTGAGAATACCATACAGAGGACCTTTTTACTAATCTTAATATGTGATTTTTCCAACTAGAATGTACTCTTTTGAAGAACAAAATCACCAACTTTTATTGCTGTACTGCTCTCAGAAAAGTATATTTAATTATCTTTTCTGTATGTGTCTTTCTTACTCACAAGACAACAGTGGTAAGTAAGGGCAGTAATGCTGTGTGTTCAATAAGAACTAAAATCAGGCCAGACATGATCCCATAGGCCTCTAATCCCAGCATTTGGGTACTTGACAGGCTGAGGCAGGACTCTCAAAAGTTTACAACTATCCTGAACTATATAGACAGAACTTGTCAGCAAGGAAAAAAAAAGGATTGAAATCAAGGGCTAAACTAATCTAGAACTAATTTTCATTTTTTTTTAAGCAAAACCCAAAAAGTAACTAATTTCCAGAAAAATACATATAGAGACTACAAGCCTGCATGAATTTTTTTTGTAAAATTGTGTAAACAGATCAAAGTCAATGTGATAGCTCACGTATGTATTGGTACTAATTCATTTGCTACTCCTAGGATTTAGCAACCACAATGGAGATAAATTTCTTCACCTGATTTTCTCCATTAGTGCCCAGAAAGATGGAGACCGAAACAACACATCCAGTCTAGGTTATGAGCAAGGCATCCTATTACTACTTTAGACAACTAAAAATCTATTCATATATTCACACAATTTACCAACTCATTCTTTTACATATATCAAATGCCTGCCAAATGCCCAGTCAACTACAGTAATCCTACATTATTGAAGAATTTACTTAAAGAACAAAAAAATTAAATTCTCATGAATGTAGTACAGTTTAGAGGATGTGGTATTTTGAGTCAGTCTTGAATGATCAATTGTGTTTAAATGGTTGTGTGATCTGCCAAGCATTTCCTTGCTCTAGATTTTCTGCAAAAATGACTGTAAAAAATGGTTCTTTATAAACAAGGTAAGAGAGAAAATAGCAGCAACAAGATCAATGACCTTCTCCCATGTTCCTCTGATGCCTGCTTACTTTATTTCAGGATTTTCTTGGAAGCTTTAAAATATTTAAAGTATTTTGACTACTCAGAATACTTTTTATACATAGTATAAACCCAGAGACCCTTTGAGGACTAGTAAGATTATTTATTTCTATTTTAATTTTTTAAACTTTTTCCACACAATCATCATCACCAAGTTGATAGTAATTTTCTCTCTTGACATTAACTTATCACTTTGGACCTGTAGAGACCTTAGAGATGCAGACATTTCCCCAGCTTCTAGAAAAATCTATCAGGAAGGAAAATAATTGAAAGCAGCAGCTTTTTTTAGAGGAAAGACTTCTCCATGGTGTTTACTGTTTCCAAGAAGTTCAGCTTTCTCAGAATTGCTATTAAGAATGTATTGTTTGTTAATATAGTCAGTGAGGCCAACTTGTCATTCTTGTTGCTACTATGCACTCCTAAGGGGCTAACAGAGAAACTATCTCAGATATCTGCTTAGTGTAAGGCCAGGTTCAAGGAAGACTATCCTTAAATCTTGGTGAACAAGTGAGCCTAGATCATGGCACTAAAGATAAATGAAGGAGACCAATAGGGTTGAGAAATCAGTCTACGTAGGTGTTTATGGTGAATCCCTCACCAAGAGTCATTCTCTGTTTTGGTGGTTTTAGTTGTAGTAAGTAACAGTTTGAGCAGCACCTTTTCCACAGGAGAGTTTGGGATTGCATTTCCTCTTCTTCCTTCCTGCCCTATCCTTTCTTTTTGGAGTCTTCAACATAATCTAATTTATGCTTAGGTGCTTGTGATTCCCATTGCATTCTCATGTTGCTAAGAAACACACATTTTCCCAGGAGTCTTCTGGAGACATAATAATGTGACAGGAATCATTCTAGTTGAAGGAATTTGGGCCAGTCTGTTGAATAACTGGGTGTTTTTCCCAGTCATCAGCCAAAAGATGACAATCTACCTGTCTTTGAGAGTAGCCTCGAGGCCCTGTTTCTCTAAAATTAACATAAAAAATATTTTATTTTGAAATCAATACTTTTCTCTTTGACTTTTAAGTTATTTCTATATAGTTCAAGGCCAATCATGGCCAAAAAAGTCTCATACAAGAATTTATTTTAGATTCAGTCTGAAAGTAAATGAAAACAAATAGGAAAACAAACCACCAAGTAAGACATTTTTAGATTCTAAAATGACAATTATTTGAATGTCAACAATTTACCTCTAATTCATAAAGGAATAAAGCAAAAAAGCATGTTAAAGCATTTTTTAAGGTTCTCTGATCTTTCATTATAGCTTTTCAGGCCATCATTTTATTATGTTTAGTTGTACAAGGAGGTTTCAATTTAACATGTCAGTTTGAATTCAGTCTTTTATTCTTCCCCATTTCTCCTAACCCCACCCCATCCCTTCAATTATTTTAGTTCCATTTTTTACAGATATATAATATTGTGACTGCATTATCCCACCCACCCTTCCTCTACCTCTTTATTCATTTACCCTTTTCCCCTTGACCTCACCTTCACACATATACACACCTCACTTTATTATAACGTAGGCTAGTTCAAAGAACTTACACAATTGGAATTCTGCCCACATATACCATAATTAGAATAGCATTATGCATTTTTAAAAAAGAAAACATTCTTCAGATGTCAAGATTAAATGTGTTTATTTTGAGTTAGTGATTACAATGGTATATTAGATACCAACACTCCAAGCTACACCTAGATATTTGCCTCTAAACCTTCACACATCATCAGTTTCCTTTCCTCTGACATTCCACACTGGGCCTTCTATTTCTAGGAAAATCAGAAAGAAAAGAAAGAAGGAAAGAAGAAGGAAAGGGAGGAATGAGTTGGTCACCATAAACCATATTGTGTTTCCAGTGCCCCAAGAAGTATTGAGTTATCTCAAATTAATGTTTATCATTTTCAGTAAAAGGGGAAAAATGATAAAACGAGGACTGGTAATGGCACTACTAGAAGAGAAAGAACAGAATGCAGATTAAAAGAAGCATTTTAGGCTGGACTAGTTAGTTTCTCCTCAGATAAAACTCCACATATATCATGGATATGACATTAAACTTCTATTGTTCAATTTGTGGGCCACACACTTAAGCGTATTGGCTAGTGCACTGAAACATAAGCAATCAATACAAGTTTTTTTTTTAATGTTCTACCATTACAATTCCAGGTTTTTCACTCATGAATATACCTGCCAACCTAATGATTCTTGCATGCATTAGAGTTTGCTTTTGTAGAGTTAAGTTTACTTATTTTCCCCATCCCTCCCACTCCCGTAAACATTGCAGTGCGAACTCTTTGCCCAACTTTAAGAGAATGTTGCAAAGGACAGCTCTGTGCCACCTCAGGATGGGATTCTCGTCCCCTCCCCAGGCTCCAGATGGATCAATAGTATTGATCACATCTCACCTGACATGCAGACAGACACTGTTCTCAGAATTTCCCCATGCCAGAGGCATACAAGTTGGCAGGTATGCATACAAAAATGGAATTCAAATGAAAAGTTAAGAAAAAAAGGAAGAACAGAAAGAAAAAGCTTTCTTGTTAAAGCCTAACTTCCTAGAAGGAATCCATTGCTTTGAATTCACTTAAAGCTTGCACAGGAGAAATGTGTTTCTTTTGAGAACCCCGTCTAACTCGTGTCTGGAATTCTTCAGGCTTTTCTCTCTTCACAAGGGGCTTCTTCTCGGGAGCCTTCATCTTCCAAGACACAACAGGTGAGTTGACAGCTGCTGTCCCATAGACCTTCTGGTATTTGGTAGAGGCCACATAGGAAGCTTTCACAGTGAGGACCACAGCATTCATCAGGTTTTTGGCTGCCTGGATAAGTGATGTGGCGCTGTCCAACTAGAGAACAGGAGAAGAAAAAGATGTACCTGGGTTATTCAAGGCCCAGTTTCACAAGACACTGATGCAATTTTACCATTAAAACAATGTTTTGCTTGCACAATACAGAATATTGCAAAAATAAGCAAATTAGCACAAGATAAACTGAACTTACTATCAATCAACCACCTGTATTCTCTCTGATATCAAAGCAAACATGTTGTTGTATAGTACAGAGCTCCCTATAATCCCAGTACTGTTCAAGGTAAAATCATCTTTGTGTACCACTTAAGAATTTCAAGGTAACCAAGTTTGCCATGGGAATATATATTACTACAGTAAGGTAATTACTAATGTTAACATTTATTCAAATATTTGAAAAGCATTTGGCAGGTATTGAAGAATGAAAAGTAATATAAGGTGCTACATTTCAATTTTATGGTCCTACCTATGAAAGCAACTCTTTTTAGATGTATTCTGCATCCTCAGTTCAGGATTGGTAAAGACAAAAGAAGTTAAGAACAAGGACAGGACCAACTCATGAGTGTTCTGGCTTTAATTTACTGAGCTTGGAGTATCTAAGAACTATTTACCTTATAGAAAATATCAATAATGTGTCAGGATCTTATAGCTTAGACAGCAAGTAATATGTTACTGAAACATTTATGATGTACAGGCTGAATATTTTTCTAAAAACATTTAAATGCATGTCTCATTTAACTGTTTTACCACCACTATGAAACAGGTATTACCATCAATCGCTATTTTATGATGAAAAAGCCTATCCAGTCACTTGGACAGGTTTACATAGCTTCATATCTGAAGTTCCTAAACACTGAACCATCCATACTGCTTGCTGCATAGGTAGGATAATTCTTGAAAATGCTGTGACAAGGAGGCAGAGTGGTTTATGTATGTCATCTCAGTACTAGGAGATTGAGGCTGGAAGATGTGGAGTGGCTGGCCAACATGAGTTACACAATTTGTCTCAGACCAAACAGAAATGCAGTGACAAGTCTGGCCTAGTACCAGAATCAGGAAATTTTAGTTTACCTCTTTTTGGCTTAACTAGTTGGACAGTGAGGAGCACAATGAATAATTGGCCACTCAATATCTGTTTTAGTCTATATCTGTTTTGCTGCTTACACCATAGCTGCTGGAAAACTCAAAATTACATTTCCCAGAATCTATTTCTGCCAGGATTCTACTGTGACCCAACAAAAGAAAAGAATGAATCCCTGCGGGGCAGGGGGGGGGGGGTACAAATCAATTCCAGTCTCAAGATATGTTTGATCACAGCATATATACATGTACATAGTATCATTTATCAAATGTCTTATATACAGAAAAGTGCCCACTCAGGTTAAATGGAGGCGACAAAGATGGTTTTATGTAAGCACTCCCAGTTATTGAGATCACCTCTAAGTCATACCTCCTATGTATAGCTACATTAACGAAGTAGAATGAGGCACAGACCCTCCTGGGGGTTGGATGGTTATCTAAGGGGTTAGCCCCACTTCTATTAAGTTGAGTATTAAGTTGGTATTCACTTTAGTGTTGTGTCATTTATTATATCCAACATATTTTCCAAACAGTAACTGAGGTTACCAGAAGTTGAATCTAATTCGACTTTAATAAAGTTGATAGCAGTCTGCTATCTATTGCAAATCCTTTATTAAAGTTAAAAAAAGAAAGATGTTGGTTGCACTAGGTTAAAAAATTATGATGATCAAATATGTTCAGTTCCATCATTGAAAGAACTCATATCATTTGAACATGGGAAAATAAAGAGTTTTGTATGTTCAAATCTTTTGCAATACCAGTGAATTGAAGCTTTGTCATTAAGAAAATACTAAAGGTAAGTATCATATTGGCCATCCAATAAAATAGCAAAGACAATCTATTTGTGGATTACAGCTGTAACTCAATGGAAGTGTAATTGACTTCTTTTTGCCCAACCAAATCATTAGAGTAGCTCACTTCTCATATCTATTACACCATAAAAGGCAGAGATATCAACATAATTGCTTCTGTATAGTTTATGCAGCCTATTTCTAAAGCTACTTTTAAAAAGTAAAATTCTAGGCAATTTATGTTAACAGAAGAGAAGCCAAGCATGAATTAGTTCGGAGTTTCTCAGTCTACTGTCATTAAGCCAACAGCATCAGTATCACTTGGGAAATGTTATAGTTTTTCAGACACAGTCTAAAGCTTGCTAGATCAACATTTAGTCTACATTTTAACCAGACATCCAGGGATTCTGATGTATGCCAAAATTTGATAGCCACCGGATTAATAAAACATAAAGAACATGCGCTTATTTTATCCCATCATAGAAAGTTTGAGAACTTAGTTGCCAGTTATCTTGACTGTTGAGTTCTCCAATGTTTTCATCATTCCTCCAGGTAGGAGTTTAAAATAATACAGGACACAGTTGAGACAGAAAAATGTTGGGAAAACTAGTAGATCAATCATTGTTTCTATAGAAACTAGGGAATAAAAATTAGGACCTATGGTCATGATCAACTGATAGTTCCCTGCAAGTCTGTCAGGTTTCAAATATGAGTAATATCCATTCATAAAGTTAGTCAATTCTATTCTGTGCTGTAGGTAAAAATGATATGCCAGGGACTGTGTTGTGATTTGCTTTGAAGTAACAGAATTAGTAGAATAAGACAAGCTCTAAATCCTGTATTATTAAATGATTCCCAAAGAGTTTTAGGAGAATTGAATGAATCTAAAGTTAAGGATTCAAGTAATTTGGAGATCTTTACCACAGATTCCACTTTCAGATAGTGGTGTCTAGTTCTGCAGCAATTATAGGAGAGCCTGTCTCTCCTCTAAGTTTCTCTCCCATTCGGATGCAGGAATCCTGTGAATAAACCTAATACATTGGCTTACATTGACATGGCTCTAAAATGTAAAGATTTTGGATTTAAATCAAACCACCTGTTAGATCCTGAATTTGTGGCAAAGTGAGGAGACAAGGAACCTCTAATTAAAACTTGAAAATTCCATACAGACTATAATCTAATTTAACATTTCTAATTCAAAATGGGACTTTTTGAAAGAATTATTTCTAAAGGATAAATTTCATTCTTTCTCTAGATTCAACTTCTCTGTGATTTAGATTATTATTAGCACAATATGGAACATTTTAAAGTTGTTTCCTTTATGCTTATTCAAAATGGCACTAACATCTGGACTCCAACTGACAAATTTTAGCTAAAATTTCCCTTTCTAAAAGACATTATTGAGAGCAAAGGTAATGCAAATATGTTTTTATACAACATTTAGGAACACTTATTTAGTATAATTGCATTCTATGTTGTAAATCTGTTACTGTGCCATTTTCAAACAGTATCCACAAATTAGTATGTGTAAGTGAAATTAAGCAAAAATACTATCAATAATTGAACACTTACTAGGTAGGTGGCACCTTTGCTCTTCAAAATGTTTAATTTAGCTCTCTGTTTTCTGTTTCTCTTTGCAAGGCTGATGTTTTAACTCAGGGTATTGTGCTTTCTACAGCTTAAGTCACATCCCCAGCCCTAATTCTCAAAAATTCTTCAGGTAGGAATTGCTACTACCCTCATTTTATAGGTAAGGAAACTGAAGCTGAGACAGATGATGTAACTTGAAGCTTCAATAACCAGCAACGTAGCGATTAATATGAATCTCATCTCTCCAAAGTTTACTATGTGAACATCTCCTGAAGAATATTGCTTCTTGGATGCATTATTTAATCCCTCGCTTCTTGTTTTTCAGTTCCTACCTATCATTCAAAATTAATCTGTTTCTATTTAACTTACCTGGGCTGGAAGTCTATCCTTTAAATTGGATAGTATCTCTGCTACCTTTACCATTGTGACTCAGTTTGAATCTTACCTAGTCTACAATTCTCACTCTCATCATCCAAATCTTACACTTCTCTTCCTGACCCGCTGACCTTGGTATGTTCCACTCAGTCCTTAGCATTCTAAGCCTTTATCTGAGCTTGTCTTGCTAGTTTAAAAATGGCTTTGGAAGACATCTGTATCAGGCATTCCTTAAGCCAGCCCATATTACATAGACAATTCTTAGTTTAGTCCATCTTTTCCTGCTGAAAGTCTTTTCTAATTGGAGATTCCACTGAGTTCTGGTAGTTAGCCTAAGAGAAACTGCTCATGTTCAGCTAATATGAAAAACAAGAGCCTATATTTAGCAAATGAGATCATATGTCAGTCTTACTCAGTATCAACTCTGCAAGTCATTTTTCCCAGTCCATCTCACAGTCACCTTTGAAGGTGGTGATAATATTACGCCCTTTGAAATTCAAAGATTTATAGCTTGCTATATCACACTATAACACAATAGATGAGCTCAAGACTTAACCATTGCTCTGCACTGCTTTACAGTGTCAGGCATTGTATTCCCCCAAAAAACTCTTGCTCTGATTTGCTAGACTAATTTTCCTTCTTCAATCCCAAAAGTGTCTGTTGTCCCTAACCATAGGGATTAGAATTCTCCTAATTCTGTCACTATTCCTTTAAAATATCAAAGTACTATTTTTAAAAAAGACAACAGATGTTCCCTCACATCTTGTTCTATTACAGTCCATGCAAAGCAAATAAGGGTGAAAGCACTATAAGGTATTCTCTGGCTTTCATTTTTCTGATTCTCACTGTTTACTTCTTAACCCCACTCAAGATCTAATACCAAGGCAGATTTCCCTTTTCAGATACTGTCCTCATTTTGTGTTCTGAATGGAGGAAAAGTGACAGAAGACTTCCTTGAATTAAGATTCTCCCCTTTGATTCTTGTGCTAATTCCCTACAATTTCAAAGCTGAACACCACAAAATATGCTTGAAAGGACTCTCTTAGTGATTAATTGTCCTTATACTCCTGAAATACCATGTCATTAGGTGCATACTATTTTTTAAAGTTGGACTTAACATTGAATATAAGCTCAGTTTCCACAGAAACAAAATGTCACTGAACTAAATCAAGTTCTTTCAAAAAAGAATGTAACCATGTCTCT